CCTAAACTCACACGATATAAATACATTCAAACGTATTCTAACGAAAAATAACTTCCCTTGTACCTCGTAGTTTCCCCACCAAGCCGCCCCCAACCGCAGGCTCACACCTGAACAGCGCCAGGTAACATCCAGTACAGGTCATCCAAACACGGGGATGGGGACGGGGCAGTGCTCTTGTCCGCCGATCCTGTCGTCGACTGACCCGGCTCCACAGGTCCGTTCTTGGGGAGAATGTCGTTGAAAACCTGAACGTCGGTGGCTATGGGCTTCAGGTCTTCCTGCGAGGTGGCCTGCAGTCTCGTCACGTTGAAAAGGCTGTCCGCGTCTCTTCCGTCGTCGCCTGCAGGAAGGATGCCAGGGAGTTTATAATGGAGAAAGGGCTGGCAGATTTGGAAGGGGAGCGGGAAATAGATGGAGGGGGGAAGAGGAAGCAGAAGGAAGAAAGAAAGAAGAAAAAGAGGTGAAAGAGAAGAAGGACGAAGCAGGAGAAAGGAAAGAAGAGGACGAAAAAAGGTGAATGAGAAGGACGAGGAAGAAGAGAGAGGGAGATTTAATAGATGTAACAAAAAATCATATAGTTACAATTATCGCACACGCACAAGTGTTCATATCAGGTCATACATCAACCCCGAATTCAATATTCAACGCAGTGGACTCCGCCTTAGTAACTGCCTTAGTTGTAAAATCATCAAACTCAGTCAGCATTACTTCCACAACGAATTCCTTTGCTCATTTTCATTAACCTTGAATGAGGGATATTACAGTGTATTGATATACAGTTTTTGCATTAAATATGGGATCTCCAGTGACATCCAAATGCAACTAAATCAACGTTAGGGTGAACATTATGATTAATCATGATGATATTGCCAGTATAATGAAGGTAAAAAGAAGGGATGAGACAGCTACTACTGCTATTACTACCTTCCGCCACCACTACTGCTGCTGCTGCTACTACTACTTCTATTACTACTACTACCACTACTATTTTTACCGCTATTATTGCTACCATTAAGGCTATTGTTATTGATTCCACGTCTAGATTGAAATAATATTAACGATAAGAATGATGATAATAGTAATAGCAATGATAATGAAAACAATGGTTTCTAATGGTAATAAAAACAGCAATAATAATAGTTACAGGAATAGCCCTCGCCTTAACTAAATAATAATATTACATAACAAACACCCGTTCAAGGTCAAGCGATTCGCACGACACACTACGGGACAGCGCTACGACTTCTACCGCCAGCGAGCCGTCGACGCCTTGGAGCGCTCGGCTGAAAATCGTTGAGACGAAGTTCGCGTCCAAGCAAGGAAACCTGTTTATCATTCTCCTTGCCTTTCCCTTTTCTTTTCTTCTCATTATCATTTTCTTTCCTCTTGTTTTTCCTTCTCTATTTCTTTTTCTGTCTTGTACTACGTCTTCTTTTTATTCGTTTTTTTTTTTTTTTTTTTACTGGTGTGTCTTTGTATGTGAATGTGTGTGTGTGTGTGTGTGTGTGTGTGTGTGTGTGTGTGTGTGTGTGTGTGTGTGTGTGTGTGTGTGTGTGTGTGTGTGTGTGTGTGTGTGTGTGTGTGTGTCTGTGTCTACGTGTGCTTCTCTAAATTAATTTCACAACCCCCAAACAAAGCACAATAAACCAATACCCTCTAAAACCAGAAGGTACTGTACAGCAAGGACCGGTACCTTCAACCAAGCGGACCTATTCCTTAAATGATAAGCGAAGGAGAGAACACCTTCGCTCGATACTGACTCGATACACCAGTAAGCGGAGGCGGACTCACCGTAACGCAGGTTGATTGCGCGGCGCGAGCGAGCTTTCGGGGCCAGCGGATGGGTCCGGAATTGGCCCATTGATTCTCAGTGGTAAAGGAGCTCTTTGTTGAGGAAAGTGATGATGGTGGTGGGGTGGGAATGGTGATAATAGTGAGAGCAATAATGATATAATGATGATGAGGATGATGGTAATGATAATAGTAACAATAATAGTTTTAGTAATAATACCAATGATAACAATGATGATAATAATAATGATGATAATGATAATCATGATGATAATAGTAATGATTATGATAATAATAGCAACAATGATTATCATAATGATGATAATAACAATATCAATGATAATAATAATAATAAAACAATAATTGTTATTATTATTATCATAATGATAATAATAATTATAATGATGAAAAAAATGATGTTCATGATAATTATTATTATGATGATAATAACAATGATAATAACACGACAACAATAATGATGATAATAATAATGATAATGGTGATAATGAACATAAATACAATCATAATAATATTGAAAATAATTAAACTAATGATAATGATAGTAGTAACTAGAAGCACTCCTAGTGCATACCTCTGCCAAGGCAACAGGGTCAATGATGCCATAGAAATATTCACACGAAGAATTGCAGTAAATCACCTCTTTCTCAAGTACACTGGTGACGTCCGTAAACATAACAATCATGGTTAA